GCAGGCAGGCAAGAAGGAAGAAAGGAAGGCGGGGCAGGGGCGGCAAAAAGGAAAGAAAGGCAGGCAGGCAGGCGGCAGGCAGGCAGGAGGCAAAAAGGAAAAAAGGGAAAGGCAGGGGGCAGGCGGCAAGAGGAAAAAGGAAGGCGGGAGGCAGGCAGAAAAAGGAAGAAAGGCGGGCAGGCAGGCAGGCAGGCAAGAAGGAAGAAAGGAAGGCAGGCAGGCAGGCAGGCAAGAAGGAAGAAAGGAAGGCAGGAGGAGGCAGGAAAGAAGGAAGAAAGGCAGGCAGGGGGCAGGCGGGGCAAAAAGGGAAGAAAGGAGGCAGGCAGGCAGGCAGGCAAGAAGGAAAAGGGAAGGCGGCAGGCGGGCAGGCAAGAAGAAGGGAAAAAAGGAAGGAGGCAGGCAAAAAGGAAGAAAGGCAGGAGGCGGGGCAGGCAGGCAGGCAGGAAAAAGGAAAAAAGGAAGGCAGGCGGCAGGCAGGCAAAAAGGAAAAAAGGGAAGGCGGGCGGGCCCGGGAGGCAAGAAGGAAGAAAAGGGGAAGGCAGGCAGGCGGGAAAAGAAGGGAAGAAAGGAAGGAGGCAGGCGGCGGGCAAAAAGGAAGAAAGGAAGGCGGGGCAGGCGGCGGGCAAGAAGGAAGAAAGGCAGGCAGGAGGCAGGAGGCAAGAAGGAAAAAGGGAAGGCAGGCAGGCAGGCGGCAGGCAAAAAGGGAAAAGAAAGGAAGGCAGGCAGGGGCAAAAAGGAAGAAAGGAAAGGCAGGCAGGCAGGCAGGACAGCGGGCAGGTACGCAGGGGGGAAGTAGGAGGCAAAAAACAGGCAGGTACGCGGGTGGGAAAGTCGGCGGGAAGACAACGGCAGGTAACAGGTGGAAGTAAGGCAGGCAAAAAAGGCAGGAACGCAGGTGGGAAAGCAGGCAGGCAAGAAAAACGGCAGGTACGCAGGTAGGAAGTCAGGCAGGCAAGACAAACAGGGGTAGCAGGTAGGAAAGTCAGGCAGGCAAGACAACAGGCGGAAGCAGGTAGGAAGTCAGGCAGGCAAGACAAACAGGCAGGTACGCAGGTAGGAAGTCAGGAGAAAGAAAAGGCAGGACGAGGTGGGAAGTAGGCGGGAAAGACAACAGGCAGGAACGCAGGTAGGAAGTCGGGAAAGAAACAGGCGGTAGCAGGTGGAAGTAGGCAGGCAAGAAAAAGGAGGTACGCGGGTAGGAAGTAGGCAGGCAAGACAACGGCAGGTAACGGTGGGAAGTAGGCGGGCAAGACAAAGGCAGGAACGCAGGTGGGAAAAGTCAGGCAGGCAGACAACAGGCAGGTACGCAGGGGAAGTCGGCAGGAAAGAAAAGGCGGTCCCAGGTAGGAAGTCAGGCAGGAAAGAACAACAGGCAGGTAGCGGTAGGAAGTGGCAGGCAAGACACAGGCAGGTAGCAGGTGGGAAGTCAGGCAGGAAAAGCAAAGGCAGGTACGCAGGAGGAAGTAGGCGGGAAGACAACAGGCGGTACGCAGGTGGGAAAAGTCGGGGGCCCCCAAAAAACAGGATGTACGGGGGTGGAAGTCGGGCGGAAAAACAACAGGCAGGTACGCAGGTAGGAAGTCAGGCGGGCAAGACAACAGGCAGGACGAGGTGGAAGTCAGGAGGCAAGACAACAGGCAGGTACGGGGGTGGGAAAAATCAGGCAGGAAAGAAAACAGGAGGTAGCAGGTAGGAAGTAGGCAGGCAAGACAACAGGCAGGTAAAGGGTAGGAAGTCAGGCGGGAAGACAAAGGCAGGAACCAGGTGGGAAGTCGGGCAGGCAAGCAACAGGCATTTTACCGGTGGAAGTTGGCAGGAAAGGAAACGGAGGTACGCAGGGGGAAATCAGGCGGGAAAGAAAACGGGCAGGTACGCAGGTGGGAAGTCACAGGAAAGAAAACAGGCAGGTACGCAGGTGGGAAAGTCAGGCGGGCAGGACAACGGGGCAGGTAGCAGGTAGGAATCGGGCAGGCAAGAAAAAAGGAGGTAGCAGGTGGAAGTCAGGAGGCAAGACAACGGGCAGGTAGCAGGTAGGAAGCGGCGGCAAACAAAGGCAGGTACGCAGGTGGAAGTCGGCGGGCAAAAAAAAGGGGCAGGTAGCGGTGGGAAGTCGGCGGGGCAAACAAAGGCGGACGCAGGTAGGAAGTCGGCAGGCAAGACAACAGGCAGGTACCAGGTGGAATCAGGCAGGCGGGGAAAACAGGCAGGTCCCAGGTAGGAAGTCGGGGCAGGCAAAAACGGAGGTACGCGGGTTTGGAATCAGGCAGGAAAAGACAACGGGCAGGGTACGCAGGTAGGAAGTAGGCGGAAAGACAACAGGCGGGTACGCAGGTAGGAATCAGGCGGCAAGAAACAGGCAGGTACGCGGGTAGGAAGTGGGCAGCGGAAACAGGCGGGTACCGGGTAGGAAGTCAGGCAGGCAAGACAACGGGCAGGTACCAGGTAGGAAGTCAGGAGGCAAGAAAAGGGCAGGTACGCAGGTGGAAGTCGGAAAGGCAAGAAAACGGGCAGGTACGAGGGGGGAGTCAGGCAGGCAAAAAAACGGCAGGTACGCAGGTGGGAAAGTCAGGCAGGCAAGACAACAGGGGGTCCCAAAGGGGAAGTCAGGCAGGCAAGACAACAGGCAGGTACGCAGGTAGGAAGTCAGGCAGGCAAGACAACAGGCAGGTACGCAGGTAGGAAGTCAGGCAGGCAAGACAACAGGCAGGTACGCAGGTAGGAAGTCAGGCAGGCAAGACAACAGGCAGGTACGCAGGTAGGAAGTAGGCGGCAGACAACAGGCGGTACGGGGTAGGAAGTAGGGGGAAGACAACAGGGGGTACGCAGGTAGGAAGTCAGGGGGGCAAAACAACAGGCAGGTACCAGTAGGAATCGGAGGCAAGACAACAGGCGGGTACGCAGTGGGAAGTCAGGCAGGCAAACAACGGGCGGGTACGGGGTAGGAAGTCGGGCAAAGCAAAGGGGGTCCAGGTAGGAAGTAGGCAGGCAAGACAACGGGAGGTCGCAGGTAGGAAGTCGGGGGCAGGCAACAGGCGGTACGCAGGTGGAAAGGTCAGGCAGGCAAGAAACGGCAGGTACGCAGGTAGGAAGTCGGGCAGGCAAGACAACAGCAGGTCGCAGATGGGAAGTCAGGCGCAAGAAAAACAGGGGGGTACGCGGTAGGAAGTCAGTAGGCAAGACAACAGGCAGTACGGGGTAGGAAGTAGGCGGGGCAAGAAAAGGCAGGTACCGGGTAGGAATCAGGCAGGCAAGAAAACAGGAGGACGCAGGTGGGAAGTCAGGCGGGCAGGACAACAGGCGGTACGGGGTGGAAGTCAGGCAGGCAAGAAAACGGCGGTACGCAGGTAGGAATCGGCAGGCAAGAAAACGGAGTACGCAGGTGGGAAAGCAGGCAGCAAGACAAAGGAGGTACGCGGGTGGGAAAGTCAGGCGGGCAAGACAACGGGAGGTAGCGGGTAGGAAGTAGGCGGGCAAGAACCAGGCAGGTACGGGGGTAGGAGTCAGGCAGGAAGACAACAGGCGGTACGCGGGAGGAATCAGGAGGCAAGACAACAGGCAGGTACGCAGGTAGGAAGTCAGGCAGGCAAGACAACAGGCAGGTACGCAGGTAGGAAGTCAGGCAGGCAAGACAACAGGCAGGTACGCAGGTAGGAAGTGGCAAGACAACGGCAGGTACGCGGGTAGGAAGTCAGGAGGAAAGACAACAGGCAGGTACGCAGGTGGGAAGTCAGGCAGGCAAGACAACGGCAGGTACCAGTGGGGGGAAGTCGGGCGGAAAGACAACAGGCAGGTACCAGGTAGGAGGTCAGGAGGCAAGACAACAGGCGGTACGGGGTAGGAAGTCAGGCAGGCAAGACAACAGGCAGGTACGCAGGTAGGAAGTCAGGCAGGCAAGACAACAGGCAGGTACGCAGGTAGGAAGTCAGGCAGGCAAGACAACGGGAGGTAGAGGTAGGAACAGGGGGGCCCAAGAAAAACAGGCAGGTACGCGGTGGAATCAGGCGGGCAAGACAACGGGGTACGCGGTAGGAAGTCAGGCAGGCAAGAAAACAGGCATACGCAGGTGGGGAAGTCGGCAGGCAAGACAACAGGCAGGTAGCAGGTAGGAAGTGGCGGGCAATACCCTTAAAAACCCCCTTTTTCCTGTGTATAACTGTGTTGCCCCTTTGTTTCCCTCCCCCCAAGGGCCTTGGAACGAAAATACTCTCACTGCAATATTTTCCCCACTTTCTGTGCGACAAATTTGAGAAAAACCGACACCCCGACTACACTTGCGGGAAACAGGTGTGATAAACCCAGGCTGTGTGTGTGGGCCAATAGGGCCACCACCAGCAAAGCCTGGTTGACCAAGCAAGCACCAAAGAGCCTGGCCCCCCGGCCGGCTGCGGGAGCAGAAAAACTCCGAAAAAGATCAGGTTATTCAGTGTTGGGGTGAAAATCTACGGTGCAACACCTTCGGTTTCCCATCTCCCACTCCAAGGGAAGGGCTTTAATCCAAAAGGGAAATTTAAAGGGACCCTCCCCCTTCCCCGGGTCATACCTGATTCCCCCCCATTCCAGGTGCTGTAAAAATCGCTTCCCTTAAAAAATATTTTAATAATAGTTAATAAATTTTGTGTTTCAGACGAATGATAATTTTTTTTTCAGACGGGGAATAAAAATAAAAGTATTTAGAGAATAATAACAAAAATAAAAATTTTGTTGTTTCAGGAGTGATAAAAATTGTATTTTGTAAAAAATAATAATAATTGTATTGTTTCAGACAAAAAAATAAAAATAATTGTATTGTTTCAGACAAATAAATAATTTTTTTTTTCAGACAAATAATTAAAAAATTGATTTTTCAGACAAAAAATAATAAATTTTATTGTTTTAGACAAAAAATAATAATTGTATTGTTTAGACAAATAGTAATAATAATTGTATTGTTTCAGACAAATAATAATAATAATTGTATTGTTTCAGACGAACAATAATAATAATAATAATCGTTGTTTCAGATGGTGGTAGGGATAGCACCATTCCCATTTCCAGGCCTGGCGGAGCTGAGAGACAAGTACACGTACAACATCACGCCCTGGACGCATTCCCTTCGTCCTCGCCCAAACGGGGACTGCGACTCTTCTACTCTGACGACGACGACGACGAAGATAACGACGAGGATGGCCAGAAGATCGCGGTGGCCACGGCCTTCGGTCTGGCCGGGATCTTCAGAAAGAGTGAGGCTGTTAGCCCCTCGTTATGTACACAGATACACATTGTTATGCACACACATCTCCATCTCTCTCTCTCTCTCTCTCCTTTTTCTCCTTTTCCCCTTTTCTCTCTTCTCTTCTCTCTCTCTCTCTCTCTCCTCTCTCTCTCTCTCTTTTCCCTTTCTTTCTTCTTTCTCTCTCTTCCCCCTTTTTTCCCTTTTCTTTCTCTCTTTTTCTCTCTTCTTTTTCCTCTCTCTTTTTTTCTCTTTCTCTTTTCTTACTCTTTCTTTTCTTTTCTTTCTTTTCTCTTTCTTTCTCCTTCTTTTCTCTTTCTCTCTCCCCCTTTTTTTTCTCCCTTTTTCTCTCCTTTTTTTCTCTCTCTTTTTTTTCTCTTTTTTTCTCTCTTTTTCTTCTTCTTTTTCTCTCTCTCTTTTTTTTCTCTCTTTTTCTCTCTCTCTTTTTTCTCTCTCTTTTCTCTCCTCTTTTTCTCCTCTTTCTCTCTCTCTTTTTTTCCCCTTTTTTTTTCTCTCTCTTTCTCTCTCTTCTCTCTCTCTCTCTCCTCTCTTTTCCTTCTTCTCTCTCTCTCTCTCTCTCTCTCTCATTTTAAAAAATAAAATGATATTTTAAGACAAGCTACTGGGAAGATTTATAGCCGATAGTTTTTCATAGTATTGGCTTCCGCCCACACTCTCTTCTCCGCTAAAATTAATTATCGTAATAATTAACACAGCCAACAAAAATAATGATAATAATAATAACAGTGAGTGCAGTTTTGAAAAGAGACGTACCTACAAGGATCGGCTTTTAAAATTTTCACGCCACTCTGGCTAAAGTTGAGATTTTCATTGCAATGTTGCTCAAAGGCCTTGACTCTCTTCTCCTCTCTTTTCTCTCTCCTCTCTCTCTCTTTTTTTCCCCCCCCTGAGTGATGTAAACAGGGGGTGCCTCTGTGCACAAATAAAGGGGTAATCCAAGATCAAACAGCCCTGTTTGCTTTTTTTTACACACTGCCCCTTTAAAATGCCAAAACAAGTAAAGCGTTTTTGAAATTCAAAAATGGGGGTTTATTTAATTATTAAACCCCTGTGCTTTTAAACTTTAAATTTTAATAAAAAGTAGTTTTTTGGAAAAAATTTTGGAAAGCAGTTTGATGGCTTGTTAAATAAAAAGTTCTTCAAGGGGGGGAAAGGGTTCTTGATGGTGTGAGGGGTTCTTGTGCTGGGGACGGTTCTTAAAGTTTGGGAGGGGGTGTTGATGGGGGTGAGGGTTCTGGGGGGTGATGGGTTTTAATGCTAGTGAGTTGGTGGTGAAGGGTGTTTATTTCGTATGGGTTCTTTGGGGTGGTGTTGGGGCTTGTGTTGGTGAGGGGGTGAGTGGTGAGGGGTTTTTGAAAAAGGGGGATATTCTTGAATCTAGTGAGGGGTTCTTGTGCAAAGGGAAATTGGGGGCTACCCCTTCCTCTCTTGGATTAAACCTGTTACGCATATTTCCCCTGGGGGCTATATGATTATTACGGTCATTGTTCCTTTCCCAACAACCCCATCCCCTTAGTCATTGGTTCCTCATTATGTTCCTAATCACTCCCCCTCCCCACCCATTTTCCCTACCTCCCCCTATGGCGATGCCAAAATTATTTCAAATTTTTTCAGGTCCAACACAACTACTTCTTGCATTCCCCCTTTCATCAGCCATCTGGAGTAGGTCGGCAAGGGGGGTCTCAACACCTGATTTGCTGTCAGGTGTATACACCCAAAAAACCAAGGAAAAAGTCATTTGACCTTTTTTGGGTTACCTGGTAATTTACAAAATATGTTCTTATGTGTGATAATTTGTGATGTTATATAATTTGTGTAACTGTATTCATGTTTTTACCTGTACCCGAAAAATTACTTAGATAGGGAAAACTCGTTCCCGCCAAATAAGGTTATATTTCCACTCTGGTTGAAGTTGCTTCTTTCTGGTGGTACCACACATTGGTTGCAGGGTGAATTCCCCTTTCTTTCTCATCATTAATGTCTTGTTGCTTTTTCCCTTTGTATTGTAAATATTAGCAGAGGGAATATACAGGTACTCAAAACCACCCTTTGTGTTTGTTTTTTGTTTGGGGACTTGGTTTACTGCCCCGTAAAAGAGCCTTCATTTATTGACTGTGTGTGTAATACTCCCCCTATTCTTCCCACCTCACTCCCCCTACCCCTCCCCATCTCAAACCCCCTTTCCTCCCCTCCTTCGCTGGATGAAAGTCTGGACCGTTCTCCTGTGGGAGGGGGGGCTGCCTGTCTCCCAGGCCTTCAGTCCTTCCTTCCCTCCCCCCACAACCCATGAGTCCGGGACTCTTGCGCCATGCCTATGAGACCAGGGACACCCCACGTCACACCCGAGACCAGGAGATCTCGCGCCCCAATCTTGGGCATCTCGCACGAAAAAGAGTATGCACGACTGAGAGAGAGGAGAACAAGTCACATTATCCTTTCTGGTGGTCTTAGCAGTGAGTCCTTAATGATGAGTCCCCGCTGATCTTTAATGGTGAGCCCAGCAATGAGTCCTTTAAAGGTGAATCTTCAGTAAACCTTACAGGTGAGTCCAGCAGTGAGTCCTTACAGGTGAGATACAGTGAATCCTTATGGGAAGTTACAGCAGGAGTCTTTAATAATAAAACTAGCAATGAATCCTTAATGGTGAGTCCTACAGTGATTCCTTAATGGTAGTCCTAATTGTGAGTCCTGCGTGAGTCCTTTAAAGGTGAGTCCTACAGTGATTCCCTTTAAAGTGAGTCCCGAGTGAGTCCCATTGGGGAGTACATGTACCACGTTTTTATAGGGGGGAGACTCCATCCCCCCCCCCTAAGCCACATCCGTTTTTCTTTATTTTCCCTAATCCGTAAACCAAACAGGTCACCGGTACAGGCCGATCCTGCATTTTTGAATGGTGTGATGACTCCCGGTCCCCCATGTTTTTGCCATATTTAGTTTGTAAACAACAAAAAACCAGGTATCTTTTCATGTCTTTATTTTACATTTGTAACCATGACAAAAAACGCGGGTATCTACGTTCTTATTTACGTTTGTAAACACAACAAAACCAAGTATCTCACGTGTTTTTTTTGTATTTTTGTAAACATAACAAAAACACAAGTATAAAGATAAAAATTTATTTCTTTGTAAAGATTTTGGTTTGCTAAGTACGAAGAAAGCCACTATCATGCCTGGGCATTTCGGGCATTTCGTGTTTTTTTGTTTACATTTGTAAACGTAACATAAATACTATTTAGTGATCACAATCAGAGATATGTTTAATCACCTCGAGAATCACTGTCATTCAGTAATTAACAGCAACATAGATCTGATTGTAAAAAAATGTGCTGTTTTTCCAATCGTAATTAATGTGGCCTCAGATAATGCACAGTCGTTAATTAAGAACAGTCATTAAAAGAGCTGGCGGAGTTCTCAGTACAGCAGCAGTAAGAGCAGCTGTCAGTACAGCAGCAGTAAGAGCAGCTGTCAGTACAGCAGCAGTAAAGAGCAGCTGTCAGTACAGCAGCAGTAAGAGCAGCTGTCAGTACAGCAGCAGTAAGAGCAGCTGTCAGTACAGCAGCAGTAAGAGCAGCTGTCAGTACAGCAGCAGTAAGAGCAGCTGTCAGTACAGCAGCAGTAAGAGCAGCTGTCAGTACAGCAGCAGTAAGAGCAGTTGTCAGTACAGCAGCAGTAAGAGCAGCTGTCAGTACAGCAGCAGTAAGAGCAGCTGTCAGTACAGCAGCAGTAAGAGCAGCTGTCAGTACAGCAGCAGTAAGAGCAGCTGTCAGTACAGCAGCAGTAAGAGCAGCTGTCAGTACAGCAGCAGTAAGAGCAGCTGTCAGTACAGCAGCAGTAAGAGCAGCTGTCAGTACAGCAGCAGCAGCAGCAAGAATAGCTGGCAGTACAGCAACAGTTAACATCTTTAAGAGGCCCAGGAGCTATAGATCAACACCCTCAAGAGGTCCAGGAGCTTGAACTCGACTCAGTCATCCCATAGCCACTCCGATCTTCAAGAGTACCTAACCTAACCTAACAACCTAACCTCACCTAACCTAACTTAACCTAACCTAAATTAACCTAACCTAACTTAACCTAACCTAACCTAACCAACCCTAACCTAATTTAACCTAATATAATATATCCTACCCTCACCTCACTTAACCTAACCTAATCTAACTAACCTAACCTAACTTAGCCTAACCTAACATAACCTAACTTAGCCTAACCTAACATAACCTAACTTAGCCTAACCTAACATAACCTAACTTAGCCTAACCTAACATAACCTGACAACCTAACCTAACCTTACCTAACCTAACCTAACAACCTAACCTACTTTAACCTAACCTAAGTTAACCTGACCTAACCTTACTTAACCTAACTTAACCTAACCTAACTTAACAACCACACCTAATCAAACTTCATTAAACAAATACGTTATTCAGATGTGTTAAGAAAATATGAAAACCAGAGAGTACAAGTAAATATATAAATATGTAATTGATTTAATAAATATAAACCTAAACCCTTGATTTAATAAATATAAACCTAAACCCTTGATTTAATAAATATAAACCTAAACCCTTTGGTGCTTCATGTTCTCTTTACAGTTATACATGTAATGGTTTTCTCACAATTATACATGGAACAGTTTTCTTACAGTTATGCATGGAACAGTTTAGTTTTCTTAGTTATATGTGCAACATTATTCTTAAAATTATACATGGAACATTTTCATTTCAGTTTATACCTGGAACAATTTTATTTTTTTAACACAGTGGCCATCTCCCACTGAGTCATGGTGACCTGAAAAAGAAGAAACACATAGTTTCTTCTTTTTACATTTAGTAATATAGAAGATTTTCATTACATTTAATGAGTGCATCACACTTCGCATTCCTCAGCTATGATAGGTATCTTACACTTTCACACTAATAATAATAATAAATTTATTTCATCTCGGTACATGTTTGTACAAAGGGGTATAACAATTGGGAGTACATGCCAAAAACCCCTTTATATGCAGAGCATATCACATACACTGGAAGATTCTCACTAATTTGCACTGTTTCAGCATCTCAGCAGCGTGTGAGCTCAACCTTAGGGGGTGGGTCACACACTGGGGGTGGACACAAGTCGACACCACTCACCATGAACCACTTGCTAAGGGGCAAGAAGGCTCTCACCTCCAAGACCAGGCGGGTAGTGCCACAAGGAGTCATCCCAGTTATCAAACCCAAAAAGAAGGTAGGTAGTTACCACCTTAGCTGGTATGGGAAAAATTGTGTCCTATACTTAGCTGTGGTTAAACTTTGAAATAATCTGAGGAGAGTAAAATTGTGGTATACCTTAGATATAATCAAGCTTTGAAATAAGCTGGAGATAGTAAAATTGTGTGGTATACCATAGATATGGTCAAGCTTTGAAATAAGCTGAAGATAGTAAAATTGTGTGGTATACCATAGATATGGTCAAGCTTTGAAATAAGCTGAAGACAGTAAAATTGTATGGTTTACCCTAAATATGATCAACCTTTAAAGTGTGCTGAGGACAGTAAACTTGTGTGGTATTCCTTAGATGTGGTAAAGTTTTAAAATAAGCTGAGACAAGAAAACCATTGGGGTAAAAAAAATAATTGACTAATAGTGGGAGGGTACATCTGTTAAAGCTAAATGTTCATTAAATCCAGATTATGAGAATATAGGTACGTACCTAGAACCTGGTTGCGTCATAGGGTAGAGGACCAAAGATCCTCCAAGAGAAATACACCACATTGTTTGGCTGTCTTGGGTTATCCTGGGTAAATAATCTTTTAGGGTTCACAATCCAACAAACTGTACAGTAAGTCCTCACTTAGCATTGTCTATAGGTTCTTGGTTCTTGGAAACTGCAACTTTAAGCCAAATGATGTATAATGAACCATTTTACCATAGGCTAATTGACATAAACATCAGAGGTGCAGAGTGTGCATTTAGCACTCATTGCAACAGGGTTAAATCAAGGAAGCAATGTTTGCAAAGCAAAAATTGTAAGGAGCACCACCTACCACCACACAGTTTAAAAACGAACGTGCAAACTCCACACAGATAATGGCCCGGGCCAGAAATTGATTTTTTCTCATCCATGTTATAATGAAATGACATTACCTGAGGACTTACTGTACTTTAATCTCTAGAATAGAGAGTCAAGCAAAAACCTAACATACAGTATATGCACTGAGAGATATACATCTCAGTGTGTATACCTATCCTAGACATAATGTACGTACTAATAACCTTCAGGCCGAACGGAAGTTGAGCGACTCAACTGGTACACGCTCAACCCCTCAACAACCAAAACAATCACCATCTATAAGATCCTCATCCAGCCCCAAGCAATCCACACAACGCTTATCAAGTGATTCTCAAGACCCACCCAAAGTGGAGACATTACACTGGAAAGACACTCCTAGAAGAGACCGTCGAGCTTCCCTTCCTTCAGGGGTCAAGCTGCTAGAGGGTGCCACACCAAGTCTGGGAACACTTGGAGTTCCCTCAGAGATAGGTAAGATGAAGCAAGACAGACATGCAAATAACTCTCACAGTAATTAAAGCCTACAAACCAATTTTAACAGTAATTGAAACCTTTAAACCAATTTTACTAGTAAATGAAGCCTACAAACCAATTTTACTAGTGATTAAAACCTACAAACCAGTTTTACTAGTAATTAAAGCATACAAGCCAATTTTACTTAAGACAGGCTGTGATGAGCCTAGTTTTGGTGTGATATTCAGGATTATTTCATTATGTCAATAATATTAATCAGAGAATTATTTTAAAAGCATTTGAGCATAGTATTTATTGATTCAGTTATCTAACAACAATTTAACCATCATTATACTTGGCAATTACTGTATAGATCTTAACAGTTAAAAGCAGATAAGGTAAAATATACACATATCGTTTTAATGCATACACATGTGTATGTTTATGTGTGTCAGTAAATGAACACATTATTACATACACTGTGTTAGGTTTTAGATTCTCAGGAAAACAGGTTGTTAAAACAGCGACCACTTTTTGAGCGAACAAGAAACTGTTGATAACTACAGCACAAGTTTCAACCGCATTTGCAAAGTTTGTCACTCTTCATTAATAATTACTCGCAGAATTTACTAGAAAGACACATGTCAGCTTACAAACTTAAATTCAAAATGCCCTTCAGCAATCTAGTACTAAATATCCATATGCATCAGTGATTTACAGTAACACTGAATATTTTTTTAACACCTCCCAGTGATGTACAGTAACCCAAAATGGGGAAAACACATTCACTGCCACCCATTCAGTTAGTCTTGCTAGAATCATGCTGATATCACAGTTCAGATGACCCTCCAGACTGCAACATCCCCAGCCATTCATCAGAGTGCAGGCACTGTATTTCTCACCTCCAGAACTCAAGTCAGCTAACCAGTTTCTATGGATTCCTTCATAAATGTTGCCTTGTTTTCATGCCAACGGCACATAAAGTTATAAAACCCACTCACCAGAACACTCACACTGATTTAATGTGCTCAGACAAACTTGTTGGATGCTTATATATTGTTGATTATTGCTCAACTTTTAGTGCTCTGGGAAGTAGGTAGGCAGCCCCCCACTGCAGTTTACCTGGAGAGAGTTCCGGGGGTCAACGCCCCCGTGGCCCGGTCTGTGACCAGGCCTCCTGGTGGATCAGAGCCTGATCAACCAGGCTGTTGCTGCTGGCTGCACGCAAACTAACGTACGAGCCACAGCCCGGCTGGTCAGGAACCGACTTTAGGTGCTTGTCCAGTGCCAGCTTGAAGACTGCCAGGGGTCTGTTGGTAATCCCCCTTATGTATGCTGGGAGGCAGTTGAACAGTCTTGGGCCCCTGACACTTATTGTATGGTCTCTTAACGTGCTAGTGACACCCCTGCTTTTCAATGGGGGGATGTTGCATCGTCTGCCAAGTCTTTTGCTTTCGTAGTGAGTGATTTTCGTGTGCAAGTTCGGTACTAGTCCCTCTAGGATTTTCCAGGTGTATATAATCATGTATCTCTCCCGCCTGCATTCCAGGGAATACAGGTTGAGGAACCTCAAGCACTCCCAGTAATTGAGGTGTTTTATCTCTGTTATGCGTGCCATGAAGGTTCTCTGTACATTTTCTAGGTCAGCAATTTCACCTGCCTTGAAAGGTGCTGTTAGTGTGCAGCAATATTCCAGCCTAGATAGAACAAGTGACCTGAAGAGTGTCATCATGGGCTTGGCCTCCCTAGTTTTGAAGGTTCTCATTATCCATCCTGTCATTTTTCTAGCAGATGCGATTGATACAATGTTATGGTCCTTGAAGGTGAGATCCTCCGACATGATCACTCCCAGGTCTTTGACGTTGGTGTTTCGCTCTATTTTGTGGCCAGAATTTGTTTTGTACTCTGATGAAGATTTAATTTCCTCGTGTTTACCATATCTGAGTAATTGAAATTTCTCATCGTTGAACTTCATATTGTTTTCTGCAGCCCACTGAAAGATTCGGTTGATGTCCGCCTGGAGCCTTGCAGTGTCTGCAATGGAAGACACTCACATCATGTTGCACACAATACACATATTTTGACAAATAAGATGAAAATTAATGCCTATTTTGAAAAAAAATTTGTAGCTGAATTCATTATGTAGCCAATGCCTTACTAATGTAATTGAATACATGTATTAGTCTTGTTAACAGAATGTTGGGACTCAATCATAGACCTATTTTGCACTTCTGTAATTTTTCGAGTATAACACACAGTATTGGTGTAAGAGTGCATAACAAAACTATAAAATTAACTTCTTCTTTTGTCCATAGTATGTAGGTTTTATGACATATATACTTCCTGATTAATTTTAGGAGTACCCTATTTTAATAAGTAACACTACATAGTTTTAAATTTTTACACCTTATATATATTTCATGACATTGCTATCCACAGATGATGATGATGGTGGTAGCAGCACATCTACAGAGCTGTGCGATGATGAAGAGCAGGACAACCTGAGTGACATTGAAGTTGATCCGTCTACGGAACCTCGGCCTGCAACAACCTCCCCTCGTCTTGAGACAGTTCATGAGAATAGCAAAGCAACATTAAAATCAAAAGAGCCTCAGTCTGAAGGATTAGTCCAAGATAAAGCACTGCAGCTAGTATCCCATGAGACATTACCATCAATAGTGCAACTAGAAGAATCAAAAGCAGATACAAATGCCCACACTATACAGAAAGCAGAGACAATCATAAATATTTCCACTGCAGACCAAGTCATGTTACAGGCAGAACCCCAAAAGGAAAACTCTACCCAACAACTACAAGAGCCTGTGGCACCTGTCACAACCGAACCACCACTATGGGATTTTAAGTCCATGGAAACAGGGATCCCACTAGAGGATTTATTAGCTGGCAAGAATCTAACGGCTGCTGAAATCATTGCTAGGATTCCATTTCCTAGTGATGTCAGCTTTATGCAGCCAAGTTCTGAAGGCACCAATAAATTCAGCAGTGAAATTAAATCAGGAATTCTAGGATCATCCTCACCATTTGCCACACAACACAATGTCACTCCCGAGAGATCACCAGTGGACAGTCCAGTCCCAAGAATTACCTCACCAGATATTGGATATGAGTCATCTTTAACAACAAAGCCATCTCCAAATGTATCACCATCAAAATCACTTTCTTCAACACCATCTCCAAGGGCTTCTCCCAATCACAAATCATCCAGATCACCCAGTAAATCTCCAAATCTTTCACCTTCACAAAGTCAGGATAACCTAGGATTTCCAAAACTGACCCTGGTGGGATTACCTCCTGTCTCTACCTCTGATATTACACAAGATAGTGTTCTGATCCCTCCCAAGTCTCCAAAAATCACAGTTGAGGATGAAAAGAGAAATATTTTTGAAATTTATACTGGCCATCCCAGTCCAGTTACCTCCCACCTGCATCCTAGTGAAGAGGAAAATGTAAATGAGTTATACTTTGAAAATGCATTGGAAAGCATTTCAAGTAGGAGTGAAACATGTCCTGACCTAACCATGAGCCACCAGAAAAATATGGGAAATGATGCAGGGAGTGTGACCGTCACACCAGAATATGAAAAAGTAAGTGAAGTGAAAGTTTCTGATGCATCTGTAACAGATACATCAGACAATCTGGAAAAGAAATTTGAAGATGCATGGGACACTAAGATACATCTTGAAAGTTCTAAGGATGAGTTTACATGGCTCAAAGATTCATATAATGAACCAAGTGATTCTGAAAATTATGGGATTAATGCTAGCCCTTCAACAAAAGACGTTTCCCAGACTTCAGATAGCATATTTGATGCGATTTGCCAAAGATTAAAAGAAAATGTAGCAAAGACTGAATCAGAACCTGTAACTGTTGAAACAAATTTTGCAACAAAGTCAGAATTTTTGTGCCTTACAGTGAGTTCAGAAGATTCTACATATTCTGGAGCACAGAAAGCTGCTGGTGTTGATTTGCAAGAAGCATCGCTTGATGTTGTCCAAGTCAAAACCTCAGGATGCACATCGCCAGTTATAAGCACGCCAACAGAAGCACTAAATACCAGTTCTTGGCTTTCTTCTTTTACCATGACTGTTAACAGTGGTTTAATTCCATTATCAACTTCTGACAACAGTCTTGATTCTCAACTTTCCAAACCTTCTGAGGCTGGTAATGAAATGCTCAAAGCAACATTTAGTAAGGAAGTAACAGAGGCCTCTTTTGAAAACACTAGTTCACCCATTATTACAGCTTCTGAAGCTAAATTTTCACCCACATTTATGACAGTGGATAGTGATTTTTCAAAATTTATGAAGACATACAGTAGTACATCAAGTGCTGTAATCGACAATGATGAAGATACACACTTATTAAAGGGAAAACTAACTGGTAATCTTGCCTCACAAACAGCAACAATCTTGAGTGATGGAATTACATCAATGACAACAACAACAATAGCCAGTTGTATTTCACCAGTAACAACATTTGACAATGTCGTTTCACCAAAGGTTGTTACTTCAGAATCTATGTTGCCATGTATATCAAGTGGCATTTCAGAATTTACAAAAGCATTTGAGTGTGAAACTGTTCTCGCAGGAATTGACAAGGATTTATATACATTTGATAACACAGACAGCTGCAATTTTTCAGCTGAGGATAAAAATACACAATTAGCAGGACTATTTAAAAATGACAGCTTTTCTACAGTGGCATCGGAGACTGGTGAATATCCCTTAGTGACAACTTCAAATGATTGTCAGATTTTTTCCATGAGTGAATCGGAGAGTGTATTGTCATCACCTACAATGGTAGCAGAAGACTCGACCACAGTGGAACTCTCACTGGTTAGCTTTCCAACTTTACATATGGCAAGTCCAGCAACCAGTACTCATTTGACCTTCAGCATACCAAGTGGAGAAGTGACATCTTCAAATATCAGTAGTGTAGTTACTCAAGAAACTTCAACCCCAAAAGGTATCTCTTGGGAAGAATCTTGCAAAACTCCCATAAAGGATTTGGTAATGGACTCTGATACATCTCTTGAGAAAGAAATTTTGTCCTTGATTGGCAAGGATTCAGCAGCATCTTCTGAATCTGTTGCTGAAAAGTGTGAAGCGTCGTTATCTAATGATTCAGTTAAAGAAGTAGATTTAGAAAATAGAATGTCTCCAGTACTTTCACTAGAAGAAAGGATTTTAGCTTTGCTCACCATGGATGAAAGTACAGGTACATCAGCATCATGTCCAGACAGGCCATTACCCCACAAAACATTACCTTTAGAGAGCAGTAAATTACCATCAACCACCGAAAGTGAAGAGAGGCATATGGCTTCATCAGAAACTTCATCCAGTAATTATTCCTCCATCACAGCAAGAGAAGATGCAGTAACTTCATCTCCAGTGCAGTCATTATCAGCATCCCTGGAAGGTAGATTATCTTTCATCACAAATGAAGTTAAGGATGAAGGGGAGGAAACTAGATCATATGGTAGGTTGAGCGAAGCCAAAGAGAGAAAAAACTCTGATGACTACGAAGCAGAGGCAGAAACTGATTTTTTCAATGGTAAAGACCTCAGCTCTGAAGCTATTCGGCAAAGACTTTGGAGGGGTGTTAAATCTCTCAGTTTGGATGCTGATATTACTCTTGATCCTAATGTCTTTTGTTTCCTAATACAGCAAAGTTCAAGACAGAGAAATCAGAAAGATGATGAGCGAAAATTACCAAGAAGAAGAAACAGTGAAGTAGCCTTGCAAGAACTTGTTAAAGAAAACACTGAAATTATTGAAAGAATTTTAAAGCAAAAATCAGTTGAAGGTTCGAGTTTAAAAAAAATAGACACCCCACTTGAAGAAACAAAAGCTATGGGAGAAGGATTTGAGAAAAAAGCAATAGATATATCTTTCCTTATTAAACCTGATAAAGAAAAGAGTGAAAGTGATAAATGTGTTGATTCTGAGAGACATAAGGCAACCAAATCACTCTCAAATGAAGCACCCCTTGCAGCTACTCTTGAATCTCACGAAGAGGCCTCCAGCTCTGTTAAAGGAGTGTCACAAGCCGTCACTCAAGTTAAAGTAACTTCTCAAAGCTCAAAACCTTTCATGCCAGAATGGAAACCCAACTACAGGAGAGAAGACAGCTCCACCGCCATCAGTCCAACTAGACCTATTACATTCAATCCTTTTCCAACAAGGAATGTGCCAAGGCAGCCAAAAGAAGTAGCAGTAAAGTTAGGTCTCTATAGTCCTACTAAAAAGACTCCTGATAATTCCCCATCTTAGAAAACAAAGTGAAAAAAAAGGCATTATCTTCTAAGTGATAAAGACAGAAGTACAACCTATGTGGATAGAGCTATAAAAAAATTAATGTACATAAAATGATTAAGTGTTAAAATTTGCATTGTAATGAGAAAATAATAATGATATATAATAAGGCACGATGGAAATTTTTTAATGAATATAATCCTCATTCTCTGGAGATGAATATTTTTGAGTGACAAGAATTTTAAATTAGAGTATAATGGAAATTTTGTATGTATGTCTGCAGGAATTACATTATACATTAATCATATTAAGTTTTAACTGTTAGGATAATGACATTTATAATTTGCCATTACATAATGAATCCTTGACATAACAGACTAATAGGGGTGAGAGGGTATCCATTGAAAGGAAAGTCTATTGCCTCAAAATTATAGAATTTATTTTCCACGATCATAAACTGACAATGGGACTTGGTCCATTGTATTTGGAGCCTACTGGACACACTGTATTACCAGTAAAGAACAACTGCCTCATGCAGTGGACTTTAATCTGTTGTATCAAGTCTTGGTCATCTGGTCAAGTATTTTGTCTGTTGTATATGAAATACCTTACATAGGAGTCCATTATGTTGAAGATTTACTGCAATTACTTTCTTGCAATATGATACAGCATCCTGATACAGTGTTTTAGTTCTAAATGACATGAAAAACAAATTTTCCTGCACACACTCCTATGTTCTTTAAGAAAAAGAGTCGGCAAATACATACAATGGGTAATTTAGTTCCTAGTAATTTCACAAGGTGCAATAAATGTAATACAGCATAAAATTAAGATATATTCATTAATGGAGCCATACCTAATAGGGACCATTTGAAAACATATGAGCACTGAATGACATTTGCCAAATCTTGTAACCTACAATGGTATTAACTGATCAAATGGCCAGTACAGACACAGGGCATTTTAGAGTATATAAGCCTTTCATTTATTTATAAAGAGCAAAAGAAATTCTTGTAATAGAACTCTCGATAATCCCTGTCTTGCAGATGTTTTCAGAACTGCTTTTTTTAAATACAGATGACTTGTATGAAATAGCCAGGTCCCTCACATTCCAAATTGAAATGTGTTTCCCTTATAATCACTCGTTATTGCCTTAAGAAATAACATGCTATAGGAAATCAGAAATTTCTACAACCTTTAGTGTGTATTAAAAAGATTATTAATGCTAGTGAAGAATGAAATATATCTTAGGCATATTTATGCATGGCAAGCATTCCGTAGTTTATTGGACTTTAAAACTTTATTTAAATGTTTCTATGAATAGGTATAAAATACAGTACACAGATGTATAAAGAAATAAACCATGTTACTAATGGGATGAAACTTTTGCAAGTTATCAGGATCTTGAACTCTTCTTTTTTATACTTTTTTATACTTGTATGGTTGCAGTTAAATTTAGTATGTAGAATATTCCCAATACAGTACTTGAGGCTTGGCATCGTTTCAGTGTGTGTCAGTGTATGAGAGAGATTACTGTACCTATTTTGTATTTGTGACTACTGGAGCAGAGTTGTACTCATTGTGTGCAATTTCAGGTATATTTTAAAGTACTGTACTGTATGTCAAATAATTTTTTAAAGCTTCCAGTGGTTGTAGTACTCAGTACTTCTTCTTGGATGCCATTCCAAAAGTTTGTCACAGGTGTAAAGAGATATATTTTAATGCCTTTTGAGCATGGCTTTACTCATACTGTGGTTTGCAGTTGTGGCTAGTTCTTCTGTCTCTTGACGGTGCTAAAAAGTCTTCCTTGCCTACAGTGAAACCTCGGTACTCACACTTAATTCGTTCCAGAAGGCTGTTCGAGTCCCAGTCTGTTCAATCTGTTCAAGTACCGAACAAATTTTTTCCAACCAACTTTCTTTTTGGTTGACTTATCACTAATCTTCGTAGGCCCTACAGTGACTTATTTATACAAATAATATAAAGAAACCCAAAAAAAACGTGAAGAAACATAAAATAGTTTACAGCGAAGTTCTGGCAGGTCATGTTTGTTTGGTCGAGTGCTGAGCAGACGGCCGACTACCGAGCAATTTTTTTTTACCAAACAAAACATTCGAATACCGAATTGTTTGAGTAGGGAGCTGTTTGAGTACTGAGGTTCTACTGTATTTTCTCAATCTTTTAGCGATTCTGTGTGTGATTATTGTATATCTTCTTCCACTTCTTGTATCTATCAACAGCTGCATTTACATTGTTTTTAGTCTTCCCTTGTAATTCACATTTTATCTTTGGAAACCATTTTTGTAACACATCTTTAAAGGTTTTACATTTTATCTAAATTATTTTTTATGACAGCACACTACAGCAGCAAACTGGATAAATATGTTTTTCTTCAGAATATTATCTCATAACCCATGATAATATCTTCTCTTATTCATCCACTTTTTTTTTCATCAATATCCACTAATATTTGTCGTACACTTCTATTTGTACTTTTGTTTATGTATATTAAGAGGAGCAGAGGTGTTATATTTTCCAAGCATGTAAGGCATGCTTTCCACTCCCCCACCCCCACACACACAAAAAAAAATCTTAGAAAATCACCCTGCACCTTGTATGCTGAAGATCAGGGTCAAGGGTAGGCTTTGGCTTACACTTTAGCATTTATTTGCTAACGTTATGTTACAATTGCTTGGAAATGTCATCTTATATATCTTTTATGCTTATGCACTTTATGTGCCAGAATATATGATATACACTCAGTATCTCATCTTCACTGTTGAGTTTTTGTGCATCTTTTAAAGAAGTTGCCAATGGTTGCTCATTAGCACATTCCAGCTTATCTTGGATCCTGTGCTTGCACTCTGCTACTCTGCTGCTAGAACGACACTTGTTGCACACCAGACCTATATTACAGATAATGTTTTGCTCTGCATAGAGCTCAAACAAGTCTGGTCAGACAAAGCTCTACCCAGAGCAAAATAGTCTAGAATAATGGTTTTCTGTGGTGGAGCTGATAAAGTGATAGCAACAAGCAAGCTCTAGGTAAAAGACACATATACAATGATCAAGACATATATTAAAAGAACAAAGATTTGATTTTGTTTGTAAAGGTTACAGTGTGTAATTACAATTTTGGTTTGCTAAGTACAAAGAAAGCCACTATCATGCCAGAGCATTTCGGGCAGACTAAACCTAGTACATAATAGCTTCTTAAATCTAGATAAGTTGTTAACTTTTATTGAAATCTGTATTTAATCTTAATACTAATGCATGGTAGTGAAGGTGGAGGTTTATAAGAATAATAATCTTGAAATTGCACGTAATAAAAACAATATTACAATTAATGGTTCAAGCAGTAATATTTCATGGATTGGCAGATGCTTAATAGACTAGAGGTCATGTACTATAATAACTGATTAGAAGTTGTTTTGGTTGGTTTGGTTAGTATTGAGAAATGAGATGATTTTTTAGCAAAGTCCTAAATTTAAAAGTAGTCAGGGGATCCTTTACCGGTTCAGGTAGTGAATTCCAGATCTTCGGACCCTTTATGTGAATTGCATTTTTGCATAGTGAGAGACTGACACGAGGGATGTCGAAGAGTGCCTTATGCCTTGTATTGTGACAATGTGTTCTGTTGTAGCTATCAAGAAGAAGTTTAAGTGGAGGGTTTATATTGGAGTTTAATGTTCTGTATATGCGTGCATGAGCATGTTAGATAGGAGTGAATGGAGACGAATGGTACTTGGGACCTGACGATCTGTTGGAGTGTGAGCAGGGTAATATTTAGTGAAGGGATTCAGGGAAACCGGTTATTTTCATATAGTCGGACTTGAGTCCTGGAAATGGGAAGTACAATGCCTGCACTTTGAAGGAGGGGTTTGGGATATTGGCAGTTTGGAGAGATATGTTGTGTATCTTTATATGTATATGCTTCTAAACTGTTGTATTCTGAGCACCTCTGCAAAAACAGTGATAATGTGTGAGTGCGGTGAAAGTGTTGAATGATGATGAAAGTATTTTCTTTTTGGGGATTTTCTTTCTTTTTTGGGTCACCCTGCCTCGGTGGGAGACGGCCGACTTGTTGAAAAAAAAAAAAAATATGTAGTAGGCACAATAATATGAGTGTATGTCTTGTATATTTAGCAAGTTCAAGCTTTTGAAAAGTGGTAGGTTGTGCTGTCTAGCACAGGAGCTGGTGATCATCCGCACAGCAGCTTTTTGTTGAATTATTAAAAGTTTAAGGTGGTTGGCTGTGGTTGATCCCCAGGCACAAATACCATAGGTGAGGTAGGAATATATTAAAGAGTGGTATAGGGTAAGGAGTGTCATTTGGGGTACATAGTATCGTATCTTGGAAAGGATGCCTACTGATTTGGAAATTTTCTCAGATATATGCTGGATGTGGGAATGAAATTTAAGATTACAGTCAAGGAGAAGACCTAGAAATTTACCCTCGGTGTGTCTTGAAATAGGGAACCATTTATCAGTACTGTATATTAAGTTGGATACTTAAGGTTCTGTTTTCAGACAGCATGAAGTATGTTTTGTCTGTGTTGAGAGTGAGTTTGTTGGTCATCATCCACGTATATATTTTTAGCAGCTCGTTGTTTACTGTACTTCTCGTATAGCTGGGAGTAGACATAAGTAGTGTCATCTGCGAATAGAACAGGTTTAAGGAGTTGGGATGCATTGGGGAGATCATTTATGTAGATGAGAAAGAAGAATAAGAATAAGAGAGAGAGAATAAGATTTTGTTCGGATTTTTAACCCCGGAGGGTTAGCCACCCAGGATAACCCAAGAAAGTCAGTGTGTCATCGAGGACTGTCTAACTTATTTCCATTGGGGTCCTCAATTTTGTCCCCCAGGGTGCGACCCACAACAGTTGACTAACACCCAGGTACCTATTTGCTGCTAGGTGAACAGGACAACAGATGTAAGGAAACGTGTCAAAATGTTTCCACCCGCTGGGAATCGAACCCGGGCCCTCCGTGTGTGAAGCGAGAGCTTTAACCACTGGGCCACTATACCCTGGGGCACTCCGACAGCTACAGGCTGGATAGTGGAGTTGACTCCATTTGTGTATACATACTGGTGTCTATCGTGAAGATAATATTTTAGGTAATCAGGGAATGTCCTCTGATGCCATAATGATTTAGTTTTAGGTGCAGGAGATTGTAGTCCACTGTATCAATGAAGAGCCCCAGAGGATATTCATTTTTATCGAGGGCTGTATATATTAGCTCAAGCACTTATATAATAGCATCATTTGTACTTTTTTTTGGTCTAAACCCAAACTGGCAGGGGTTAAGTATATTATTGGATGTAAGGTAGGAGTAAAGTCGTTTGTGTATTATTTTTTCGAGTATTTTAGAAAATAAGGGCAAGGTTTGATATAGGTCTGTAGTTGTTCAGCTCAATTGGATCACCTCCTTTGAGGATTGGAGTAACCCTTGCTGTCTTGAGTATGGATGGGAAGGTTGAGGACTCGGCAGATTTGTTAAACATTGTTGCAATAATGGGCGACAGCACATGAGCAGTTTTTTTATATATGAATGGTGGCAAGCTATCTAGGTTCTCCTGGTTTGTTTTTTATGATTTCATGATGACTGAGACTTCAGTAGAATTAATTGTTGCTAGATATAGAGCACATAATATGGGTAGTTGCCAGTGAGGTAGTCTTTTGGCTGGGTATTTGAGCTTGGAATTTTGCTTGCTAGCTTTGATCCTACAGTAGAGAAGACATTAAATTTGTTGGCTGTGTCTATAGGCTGTATGTGAGGGTTATCTGGTTTAATTAAGTTTATCTCTGTTTCTAGACAGTTTTCTAGAGCCCAAAATTTTGGAGAGGGTTTGGCAGATCCTTTTCATATCACCTTTTATTTCGTAATACACTTGCTTTGATTTTCATGTTAGCTTTGTGAGTACTGATGTGTATTTAGCCAATTCTTTAGTAATCAGGCCTAATCTGAGCAGTTTTTTCAAGTTGGTGCTTTTTATCAATGGATTTGAGGATACTGTTTGTTAGCCATGGGCTGTTTAGTCTCTTTGCTGTGATCTGCTTTGTTTTGATCAGACAATGCATGTTATAGAGGTTTTGGGTTTTATGTAAAAAAGTTTTGACATCTTTGTCAGTATTGTTGCTATCAACCAGCTCTTTCTGCCAATCAGTATCACCTAGTGCTAATATTAAATTATTTACCTATGGCTCATCATACAGGTGAAATGAGATCTTTCTTGAGTCCTGAGGCAATTTACATAAGTTGGTTATGAGAAAGGTGGGGTAGTGGTCTGTATATTTCACCATGAGTGGCTTCTTCAGTCCTACGCTTGACTGAAGAAATCGCTTGTGGCAAAGTGTTTCCATAATAAATGTCTTGATAAGTACATATGTCTTTTACCTGGTTTGCTATACACCGAGCACCTTTCTACCCTCCATGTATGCAATGCTTTCCATCTGCCATTATGTCCATGAAGAAATTTTTAGTATTTTTTCAGCATTGCTTTTCTTTTGGGTTACAATTGTTCTCCTTATTGGTGTGTGTGTGTGTGTGTGTGGTGTACTCACCTAATTGTGGTTGCAGGGGTCGAGTCTCAGCCCTGTTGTGTGTGTGTGTGTGTGTGTGTGTGTGTGTGTGTGTGTGTGTGTGGGGTGTGTGTGTGTGTGGGGTGTGTGTGGTCTGTGTGTGTGCATGCATGCATGCATGTGTGCATGTGCATTTGCATGTCTGTGCATATGCACGTGTGTTTGTGTGTGTGTGCATATATGATTCGCTTAGGTTATTACTGACATAGCACACAAACTGTAATGAGCAGATTTGCTATGTAATCAAAATAGTAATGGTGTGATTGTTTCAGTTAATTTAAAACAGCCTTGTTGTAAGTAATATCCTTGTCAGTTATTTAAATGAGCGTGAGGTGTTGTCAAACACTTTGTCAGCCAAAGATTAAAAGTTGTCATGTAAAAAAATAAATTTAGCTTTAGAAATCAACATTACAATCGCATTTTTGTGTCATGATCGTGCATTCATAACTCTGTCTTTCATCATTTTTATTGTCATGTTTAACACTTTCTGGATTTGGGAGGACATTGAGTCATTGTGCATAGGTGTTGCCTTTATACCTGGATGACAAATGATGACATAAGAATTTACAAGTGTGACTGAAGCCTGGTGTTTGGCTTAGGTGGCACCGGTGTCCTTGGAATGATGCTATGGCATGGCTTGCACAAGTAGGCTTCATCATTTCCTTTGAACATGACATGTATCCTTATATGTGTGTGCACAAAACTACCTCGGTGAAATATAGAAGAATAGAAAGACATAAACATATTTTGTGTGCTATAAGATTTTATTTGAATTAATAACCTGGAGGGAGTCACCAGGATAACCCAAGAAAATCACTGTCTGGTTTATTTCCAAAAAGATAAATGAACCCTCAGTATAACTGAATAATAGGGAAAGCAGATAGCCAGTAATGGCAGCTGTGGTGGACAGAGAATAGGTTGTTTTGCCATGATAGTAACCATAACTGGCAACCAACACACTTTATCTCTGACTTAAGAAATCGTAATGACACGATTGCAAATAAACCATACCCCCGGCCGGGATTGAACCTGCGGTCATAGTCTCAAAACTCCAGCCCGTCGCGACGGGCTGTAGTTTTGAGACTCTATGACCGCGGGTTCAATCCTGGCCGGGGGTATGGTTTACACTTTATCTCTTGTTGAACGAACCTGATGGTTTTTGTTCCATATTCCAAAGTTCATTATATAGAGATTTATTATATTGAGGGTTTATGTGTAGAACAAACCTTTATTTATAGACTTTCTCTAAATAGAGCTTTACCATTTTGTTTTAAAGAGAAACAGACTCTAAATATAGGTTTATCTACCATACTTGTCAGCAAGTTTTACCTTAAGTATTTTTGTGTGTTTAGGCATTTGCACGCATGTGTACACATACACACGCGCACACACACACACTTGTTCAAATGTGGGTGTATGTGAGTTTGCCTCAAATACATTGCATAACTCGGTGCTTTTCCATATAAGGCATTATTGTAAAACTATTCTTCAACCTATAAATGTCTCTTCAAGGTAAATAAAAAATTCATGAATAATAAATAAATAATAATAATAATATTATTATTATTATTATTATTATTATTATTATTATTATTTATTTATTATTATTATTGTTATAATAACGAGATGTTTCACCTGTGGACCCGGCTTCTTCAGTCCTTACGCAGGGATGAATAGCAAGCAAATTTTTACAAGTGTAAGTCAGGTAAGTAACCTCATTGATCTGGCCACTTACCTAACTAGGCTTGTAGAATTTGCTTTTTTGTGCATCCCAATGTATTGAATAATAATAATAATAAATTTCCACAAAAATTATACACATTATAATTTTATGGAAATTTCCACAGTATGCACATCATTTCAAGCAGATGGGTTTAGGTCTTTCTGTTCTTATTTGTCACAAAGTTAGTTTTGTTTATTTGTAATTACAATGAAAGTGATTCCTCTACACATTGTTAAAACAATGTTGTCAACCAGGTCAGAAGTGAGAAACAACGTGAATCATTACTTTGTATTTATTAAGTGCTAAGTTGGGATCTTCCAGATTATTTATATTTTTAATACAAATAAGGCAAAATTTAATATTATTAAAAATATTTTAGATTATATTGCATGCTATATTAAGGAATATGATTCATGGTAGAAAATAATATTGACCATATATCTTTATGATGTACAGGAATATGTCGTAATTAATATGGCAGGTAAGGTTCCAGACTGCTGCTGTAAAACGATTTATCACATTAAGGCAAATCACAGCCTTTTTTTTCACTTTCCAGTGCATATAAAAGCCTATAAACATGTTTACATTATCATTTATTAAGTGCACAATAGCATTAGGCCTTAAAAAAAACGGTGCGGAAGTAAAAATAAAATGTAAAAGATTGTGAAAATTGCCGAAAACCATTTTAAGAACAGTGCAAACCCCGAAAATAATAAACGTGAATATAATTGAAAAGTGACATATTGGCAAAGCACTCTAAAGTGGTTGCCATATTAATGAGATATGCCTGTACAGTAGCTGGAGTGGTATGTTGCGTAGTCCGAGCTAATATGATTGAGGAGAAGAAACTGTCTTCTGAGTATGTTAAATGAATTAATCTTGTATATATGAAATAAGGTCTATGAATGTTTTATATTTTATGACTTGAAATAGTTTATGAATTGTATCTAATGAAACATTGTGTATTAGCTTAGGGTGCCGTCCAATCATGTTGTATAGTTTCTTTTTCATAGAGTATGGTTTATTCCTTGTATATGCTCAATTATATTGTGCCATCAACTGCATGAGAAAAATGGGCTTCTTGGGGAACAGTATTTCAAAATGTTCATAAACATTTGTGTTTGCATCAACATTCATATCAGTTAAAAAAAAAAATTTTATGTAGAACATTTTGTCACATCCATCCAATGCTTTTTGAACAGGGCTTATTTAGTAATGTCCAAAATATGGATGATTATTTTCTACTTCCATATGTGCCATTATAGATTAAAGATAGTGACAGGACTGTTTTTAAGAGATCAGTTAGATGTGATCTTTACAAGTTTGTTCAGTTGGTCTTCATGCAAGGAGAATACGTCAGTGGATTTGTGTGATGTTAAATAGTCCACATCAAGACAATAAAGTTGCATAACACACACACACATCTGATACCATATATACATAGTCTCAATATCTGAGAGTATCATACCACAAAGAAAAACATCCATGAAGTTAATGTTAATATTGTTAGAATATTTTGAAGGTTGAGTATGAAGTGGTTTTTGTGATAAGCGAGAAACGGATAGTAATTGCCAAGCAATAAGGCAGTTTTTCTTGGGTCAGACTGATAAAGGCAACAAAATATTTAAGCCCCAAGTATCCCTTTCATCCTTCCTGCCTGCTCCACCCTCACATCCAAGCTGTGTTAATTCTATGAGTGTGTCAAGATAAAAGTTTGGTGGGTGCCCCCTAGCCACTTTGGATGACGGTAGTCTGTCCTTGCACCATCACTTTGCCTGTATAGAGCATTTTTTGGGGCACAACTCAAAATTTCACTTCATTGTACTTGAAGTGGGCTGAAGGTTATTATTAAAATGTGTTTTTCAACTTGACTGCAATCACTAAGTGTGTGGGGGCAATCTGAACAACTATAATACAGCTAGTTGTCATCAGTGACATGTAAGGTAACTTACTGTTATCACCCTGGTGTAAAGTAACTTGTCAGCACTGAGGTGTTAAGTAATTAGTATATTTGTATCTTTGTAATGTGTCAGCACAGATGCTTAAAGTATCTTACTGCTCACTTGAGACAAGGTTCACATTTTGACCTCAAATTTTATGGTAATTTGTAATTATTAAAGAGTTATACAGTACAGTACATATTAACACTTAGGTGTAAAGGTTAACTTGTCATCACTGAGGTGTAATATTTCTTAACAATCTGTCTGTAAAGTAACATCTTCAGCACCAAACTGTATAAGTAAGCTAGTTGTCTGCACTCACTGTTTAGGGTTCTTGTCTTCAGCACTTAACCTTATAAGGTTGACTACTCCTCAGCACAACTGTCCCTTCAAGGGGTGGGGGGTGCCTTGATACTGGTGAAGGGCTTTTGATCCAAAGAATTGGAGATACCTTCTTCCTTGATGAATAAGACACATGTACAACACTTAGGTATCTTTACTGCTGAAACATTTTGCCTGCACAACAGGATTTTTCAGTTAAATAGAGGTGAAATCTCTTGGCAATAAAGATACCTAAATGTTGTACACATCATATTCGTCATTTTGTCGGCATTATATTCCATTAATATGATACCTTCTTCCTTGGATCAAACCTGAGTAGTACCTCCTGTTTTCCAACCACTGTATGACCCTATGAGTTATACAGTGCCTGGAAAATGGGACTTCCATATGAATATATAACAATCAGCACAGCTGTGTAATTCAATTTGCACTCACTATTGTAGAATCTGTTCACTGAACACAAAACTCATTTGTCAAAATCACTTTTGTTTTTGAATGGGTCTGTGGGATAAGTTTCCTCGAGCACTCCTATAGGGTATGATTAAGCCAGTGGAAGAGATGTTCTGATAATTCTGTACACTCATCAATCTGAACAGCAGAATGCGAGATGTTATTTACTGCTGTGTTTTGTAATTATCCAGCAGCGGTTGTCTGTATATTAAAACAAATCAGTGACAACATATGTTCAGTGCCATATATTTAACTCTGTATGCATACACAAATTCATCCCTACATGCTAATGTGCATCTACATATACTGTGTGTTTATATATATATATATTTTTTTTTTTCAACAAGTCGGCCGTCTCCCACCTATGAAAATTAGCCATAGTGGTTTTATTGGGTTATTTTGAGATACTAACTCAAGATTACTAATCCAAATAAATTCATCAACCTAAGATTATCCTAACATGAGTTAGTATTTTTTTTTTTTTAACAGATTGGCCATCTCCCACCAAAGCACGGTGGCCTGAAAAAGAAACACTTTCACCATCATTTATG